GTTTGAAAGCTGCAATATGGCCCTGACAGGAGAAAGTATTTACAGATGGAAATCCTTTGGAGTTATTATCAGAGGAAAAACTGGTCAGTGCTCTGTTGGTAAATTATACTTCGGTGAATACACTGTGTTGGGCTGATAATACTTTAAACCTGTGACAAATGTTTGCTATGGGACAAAGGAAGGTTATGTGTGTTGTCTTTGCAACTCTTAATGAACTAGACCATCTTCAATGACACACAAAATTATCTTCTAGTGCATTAACATTACACGTTTTGTTGGTTTGCAGATCAAACCTATAAGGAATAGCATGCTTAAATCCTGTAACTGATGCTGTTCTGGTGAATGAAGAAAAGTAATAATTTGATGTTGAAAATGGTCAGGGTGTCACTAGAGTGCTGTGGTGTTACACAGAAGCAGAACTGCAGTCTTCTGGAGGCAGATAGTCTTAACTCTGGAATGTGTCTTAGCATCAGAGTTATTAACTGTATGGTGTACAGTTGAAGCTCAGACTACTGAGTTTTGGTGTGATTATTTTAATCTTAAACACTTAGTTTCATTTCTGTCCTGGAAATAAAGTAATGAGATCTTTCTCAACTGTGTAGAAGTAAATTTGGGGATATTTTTCATAGTTCTCAGACTACCAGTTCCTCAGATCACAGGAGAATTTCCTCTTTCAACAGAAAATTAAAGTTTTGGCAGTGTATGTTTGTAAAGGAAAAAGTAGTATGTATCATTTTAGTGAGCTATAAAATTCTCGAGTTTTGCTTGTCATGGAACTATCTGTGAATTGTAGTATTTGTAGGTGTTCCTATTTCTGTAGGACGCTGATTGTGTTGCTTTCTGCTTCTTCTTTTGTAACTGCCTTATTATGAAGAGTAGCCTGCCAGAAGCTCTGCAGGGATTATTTTGACTGCTCAATGTATGTGCCGTGTTATGTCTGACAACAGAATTGTTTGTGAACTACCATAAGCCTTCTGACACTTCGTTGTCTTTGTGGCTTTTTTTTTTTTTTTTATTTAACTCATTTTATGTACTCTGCTTTTCAGATATCTCTCATGATGGGCTTGTTGTCTCTAGCCGTCTGTTGTGATCTTGTGTCAGGAAGGATACATCACCTTAAATCCACATTGCTGTCTCTTCTGTACATCCTTTACTTTGAGCTAAGCAAAACCAAGCACATGCAAAGAGGATGTATGTAATGAGATTTTTAACTGTGTTTCATATCTTTACAACAGTGCTGGGCATACAGGCTAGGTGGAGGGGTGGAGTTACTCCTAAATGTACGTCAGACAAAGCTTTTGTGTTGAAATAACCTGCATGTTAAGTTGTGAAATCTAAATTTGTCTGGGCCTTTGAAGAGACGCTGTGTAGGTTACCAGTTAAAGTGGAAGTGAAATGGCATCTCAAGCCACCCCAGATGGTCACTTCAGTAGTGTCCTTGGGAGGAGAAGTGTCCAGCTGGAGCAGGGCAGAGACCTGGAGCGTGTGTTATTGGGTCAGCAACTGAGGGTTTGAGCAGAATTTCAGGACAGATTTTGACCTGTTTCTCTCTGCATCTCAGCCCTGAGTCATCCCTGTTACCTGCTTGTGAAGACTTGTAGCCAGCTCTGACACAGGGCTTACGTGGGCTGTGAGTGGCAGTCTTGCTTTAATGGTGGCCAAGACTGCAGAATTATTTATGTTAACTTGAAGCCCCTACATAGAAACTGCTGGATCTGACAATAACTGCCTGTGTTGCCACAGTATTTCAGCAAAATCTTGCATGGGGTACCCTGAATCTCTCAGTATAACCTATTAGCTCCTGGTTTAGTGGCTTTACCCTTCCCTCCTGAGGACACAGCCATTAATAAATTTCTCAGAAGTTTTCTTCCTTGTAGCTTAAATGAGTGCAGAACTTGGAGGCCTGAGAATCAGTGGCTGTGACTCTGCCTGTTGGAACATGTACACCCGAGAAAAGTGAACAGTGAGATTCACAGAAGGCTCTTTGCATCTTCATGGTTAATGGTTTTCTTGAGCGTGAATTTTGTATGGAGATCAAGATTTAATCAGATGCTGTACTTCAGAGTTTAATTCCACCTTCCCCTTAAGTGACAGAATTAATGAAGTAAGGGATGGTCACTTAAATGAATAGATGAAGTCTCCCTAATTTAGCAGTAACAAGTGGGTTTATTGTCTGCTTTCTTCTTTTAAACTCACCGTCCTACAAAGCTATGCCAACACAGTGTGTGGAGGGCAAGCAAGGATATCTCCTGGGAATGAGTTTACTCTATTGTTGTTCACCTGCTATTCTCATTAGCCTGTCAAAGAAACTGTGTTAATTTGCTCCACAAAGGTCTACTGAAGTTAGGAAAACTAGCTTGTGAACAAATTTTATCTGTAAACCAAGATGGCACCTAATTTGATTTTTCTCAGCTGTGTTATTTATACCATAGGTATAAATGGATTAATCTAGATCACGAATAAGGAATTTTTGCCTTGAAAGCTGTAGAAATCTTCCAAAAGGGTCACCTGTGTGCAGCTTTCTCTGTGTGCTGCCACTCAGCAGCCCCTTACCTCTGCAGTTCCTCCTGCACACCAGGCTTTATTCTTTGCCCAGCACTGGCAGATGATGTAGTTCCACCACTTGTGGATGTTTCCATGATCCCTCCAGTCTGCTGTTACCTACAGGTGTTCTACAGGTTGACTTTTCCCATGCAGAATCGCCCCACAGCTGTTGCTGCTGCCACTTGCTTCTCTTTCTCACCTAAAGGCCAGTCTGCAGGAATGGGTTGTCAGGGAGGAGAAATGCTGAGCAGCCAGGAGGGGCATCAGTGCAGGATGGGAGAGGCAGAAGAGTCTCCAGTGGGCTTAAATATTGCTTTCAGTAAAACAAATTGCTACATGTGACTTCAGGTAGTTAAAATCTCAGAGACTGAACCATTTGAATTTGGCAACATAGTTCTGTGTGCGCTGGTCCAGTGGGTGCATAACAAAATTTCTGTTAAATGAAATGATCAATCATGCTTGGAACAAAAATCCACTTTGTGGTACTGAATAGGAAGCTTTGAATACTGCAGTATAGCAGGGTAAAAGGAAGTGTTTTTGTGGACTGTACTGAAGGAACTTGCACATGTTGTGTTGCATAAATGGTCACTCAGGCAGCAGGACTTCCAACCCTGTTGCAGGATGTAGGAAGTGACAGAACTGCTTTGCTCAGCTGTTGCCAAGCAGCATGAGTGGAAGGACCTTATGGCTTCCATTCAGAAGTTTTCAAGGGAATTGTTAACTTCATACGACTTGCCTGGCAAGAGGACCATGCGTGAAAGGGACTGAAACAGGGTAGTGGAACAATTGTTAAAACAAAGCCTATGCTTTAACAGAGTGAATTGGGTATTTTTTAGATTTCCCTGTCTGCAGGAGAGAGAAATAGTGCTTTTTACAACATTTGCAGAAAAAAAATAAAACCCCACCACATTAATTTGGCAGGCACTTGCTTATCTTAGGTGCTGCCTTGATACAAATTGGCAAAAGTTATTGTTTGCTTCAGTAGCTGTGAATAGGATCCCTTGATTTTATTTATCAATTAATATATTGTTAATAACTCAGAGTACTTGTTCTTCTGAGCTATGCTTTTCAGGTCACAGGTTTTTCCTTTGTGGAGAGGGCGAGAGGAAATGGGTGATATCTTTTGATGGTAGTTTTCACTGTGACTAAAATCATTCCCCGGCTTTGATACTTCATAGCTCTTCCCCTTTGCACCCGTGCTTCCCAAGCTGGGACAAATCTGTAATGTTATGGCCTTTGTGATTGGAAAATTCACTGCAAAGCAGTGTATTTTTTGTTAAATGCTCATTAATCAGGATTACCTGATGAAAGAGGAACTGCTGATAGCTGATTAAGTACAAATTAATGCTGAATTTTTCAAGCCTCTTCAGCTGGATTTGAAATGACATGGCAGGGATTTTATGTTTCTAAAACAAGTTTGGGCAAAAAACAGATGCGTTGCAGAATATGCTTGACTTTGCTGTAGGAGCAGAAAGAGAATTGGAGTACAGAATGGGAAGATCACTCTTTGAAAAAAACCTTGAGATGAGACATATTAGAAGGGTGGATTCTGGTACCGGGAACGCCAGAAGCAGGGGCAGCAGTGGTTTCACTGGCAACAGGTTAAGTGACAGTGCTCAAATATTCAAATTAGCTGAAATCCCTCATACAGAAACAGCCTACAAAGCCTCAAAGGGATAAGGTTTATGAACCTTTCACCACAGCAGAAAGGTGCCAGTTTTGGCCAGTTCATCATCCAGTTACTGTACTAAAAAAGGTAAATTGCTATAGAAATCTGCTCCAAATGAACTCAAACACCCTTTGAATGCTGGCAGTGGAATCTGTGCTGCATTTCCATAGGAAATACTGTTTTGTCTGACCATAACAAATAGTTTTTTGGTTTGCTTTTTTTTTTTTCTGAACTAGAAGATTAGTTTTAAAGCAGGAAATCCTGCTTAACATGCAGAAAGTTCAGAAAGGTAAAAACTTTCACTGGCCGCTTTTTTCTTTAACCGATGAAAACTGTAGCAATGAAGCATTTTTTCCCTGTGTGCAATATATATATATATAACACTGTAAATAAAGCTTGAACGGAGACCTACTTTTTTCTGCTGCAATTATATGTAACTTGGCTCCGTAATGCAGAGATGTAATGCTCTATTTTTTGTGCTGTAACTATATGAAACTTAACTCAGTAATGCTGAGATGCAATGCACTATTTCTGATGCTTGTGATCATGGCTGGCTAATGGGCCTTACTGACTCAGGGTTTGTAAGGATGCCTCTCCATTCCCTTGTAATGTCACTTCCATGGAATAACAAGTGGTTTTGAAATCGGCGTGTTTTATTTGCATTCCTGAAGAATTGTATGGGTTCCCTGGCACTGCAGGATCAACTTTGATTTTCCCCTGGCACTGGCTTATGTGATTGAAATATTGTATATTGTTTGTGTTTAATGGGGTTCTTCTGTTTTTTCAGATCTGAAGACGAGCTGCTGCATTGATAATCTGAAGAAGGGAGTTCTCTGATAAGACTGCAAGAAGATACTACCAGCTGGTAAACACTTCCTTAGGTTTCTTTGCTTGTAGAATGTTTCTTTGTTTTCCACAATATTTTAGGCCAAGGAGTACAAAGTAATTTTGTATGTATTTTGGATCTATTGAAAGCAAGAAGTAGCTCATGCAATATTTTTTCTTTCTAATTGTCTGTAGCTTACCGGGCAAAAGACTCAGTAGCAGTGGATAATGTGGGTATTTAAACTGTAATACAAATTGATTAGATTCCAGTTCTCTCAGTAGGAGAAGAAAGACTGGGTTTTTTCCTGTAGTGGCATGTTAAACATTGTCTGTTTACCCTTTTAGCTGAGACAAATACAGTGCATCTGTCCCTTGTCCTATATAAATACTGTTTGAAGTGTGGTAGTGCAAACAGTGAAACTTCAAATCTGATGCTTCAGAGTCTGGAGAGAGAAGAAGGGAAGCTGTAGCAGAAGTTCAGATGCTTTGGAAGATGCCATTAATGTTCTTATAATTATTCATGTTTAATGAAGCACAATTTTCACTGAAGATAATACATGATAATAAAACTAAGGATGTCTCATAATTTCGAGGCATTTTAAGTCGTGTGCAGGCTGCCTGTAGGTTCAGAGTGGTAAAAGGATCATCAGTGAAGAGCTATGACCCCTTAACAGCAGTTTGCCAGCCCATAAGCTAGTTTGTTGAGCTACACTATTACAAGGCAATCACAAGAAAACATGAGGATTTAGGACATTTTGAGTATGTCTTGAGGTTGATAGTGGGTACCAGATTTACAGCTCACTTTTCAAATAATTAATGTTATGCATGAAGTGGCAGTTTCCCTCTGTAATTATACCTTACTCTCTACCTTCTATAAAACTTGAATCCTACCTTTCTGTTCATTGCCACCACTTGAGCTCCAGGGCTTAGTAAACCTGTGTCAAGAGGGTTCTCAGCCCAGAACGGGGTAATGCAGCTGGGTTCAAGGATGAATGTGGAAAGAAGTATCCTAGCCAGTATGAAAACATTAAGCTTTTATCACTTAAACATTCAGAGATGCTTTATTAATCTTCTCTTGCCAGTAAATTTGCCTAAATTTTGTAAGCAATTGAGGATAACTTTATGAAGTTGAGTTGTGTGGCTGTTGCAGAGAACATTGAACTACTGTGTTCTGTTACTCTGCCAAACGTAGATTAATGATAAGAAAGTTTTCAAGTCTTGTAGTGGTCAATAATGTGTCACTGAGAAGTGACATGGTAAAAACAATGTCTGATTTTTTAGTCCTTTTATATATATATATATATAAAGATGACTTGCATGGTACAGCTATTTGTGAGTGATAATTTCAACAGCTTTCTAGCCTGGCCATGTAAAATTGCAGCTCCTGAAGCTAAAATGCATGAGACTCCTTCCCAAATACTTAGCTTGAAAGTGCATGTCCTTAAAGTTACAGGAGAAAGGCCCTGTGGTGTGTAGTGTGTCACCGTTTGAGGTTCCAAAATGCTGCATAGCCAACATAAATTTTGAACCATGTTGTAATTACCTGATAGTAATTTTTGGGTTATTAGTTTAGATTATTCTGATGGTATGTGATGTGAGTAAGTAATTTGTGTCTGTCACTAAATTTGGGTTCATAGCTTGCCCCGTACTGAAGACTGAAAAGCTCACTAGTCTGGAAGCAAAGGGCCCTCTGTCCTTTTCCCTACTTTGACTTCCCACCCCATCATCTCTCAGAGAGAGAAGTTTAACAGGCTGGCCATGCTGAGTGAACTGGGTAGTTCTATAAAGCAGTTCTTTGTCTGCAACTGTGGTAAAGTATTTGTCTTAATTCTGCCTAATTTGTGCTGCCCAAACTTGATTTCACTGTTTCCAGCATTAACTTTGATTTGGGAAGACAGGAGCTGAGAGCCTGCTGAGCTCTACTGCATTTTAGACCTGACCCAGGTCTCAGCTCAAGCCCCCAACTCTGGGAATGTGCTGAAAAGAGAATGTGACACTCACATGCCTCATCCCTTGGGGCAGAGTGTGTCTGGTCCTTGAGGTGGTGCAGACTGTCCCAAATGTGTGTAAAAGACATACATGCCCATCTTATCTGGGTGGAATTTCTTGTGGTTAAGATGTTTCAAGTGTCCATTATCACATACACAGAAGGACATGTAAAATCTTAGTGTTTGCCCTATTTTTCATGTATTTGCTGTTCTTTTTCATTATGCTAACTTACTTGGGTGGGATTATTTTCCAGAGTATCAGTCATTCAGAAAAGATCTTGATAATTGTCTCCTGCTTTCACGTATAATCTCTGATAATTACTCACCCTCATTTCGTAGTGTTATCTCTATATGCAGCTTGAACTTGTCTGCATCCTTGAAGATTTAAAAATCTTTCCCCACAACTTAGAATTGTTCCCCTGTAATGATGATAGGGAGATGTTTTGAGCAAACTGATTAACATGTTGTGGAGTCTCTGTTCGAGGACTAATATTGCAGTGTTGGTGGATTAACAGGTTTTGCATTTATGCTAATTTTAATGAATATGAGAACACCTTCAGTATTATGTTTGCAAAGTGGAAGCAAATGCATACCTGTCACTTTATTAATTTTTGAAAACTCTTTGTTGTGGTTTCTATAGCTCTCATAAAAGTAGCATTTGTCTGGCTGACACATCTTAAAACGTTTTTGTTTTGTCTTGGGAAGAAGTTTTAAAATCTCCTCGGTAACAATGCGAGTCTTTTAGTGCAAAGCCCTTAATATGTGTTAAATTTAAAAAGAGTAGGAAAGTTTGTTGCCCCCATAACTGTGTGCCTGCAAAAGGTTAGAACTGAAGAATCTGATTCAGTAGAAATAATGTGTGTGAGTGAGGCCTTATTGCATGTGTTTACAGTGTCCTGTATGGCTTTGACTGTTGGGGAAGTTTATGTAAAATCAAATGTACTGCAAAAAAATATAAAGCAAGTTTCTGTTTTGTTTTGGTCAAAGCTAAATGTTAAACAAGGAAATAGGTGTTACAGATGTGCAGCTTTTAATGGGTGCTTTCAGAAGGACTTTTTTTTTCCCCTGGAAAACTTATGGAACCAGCGTAGAAAGTGGTGAAGTTACAAATGCTTCTGAGCAACTTGAAAAGCTTTCAGTGCAGAGCCCACCAGATGCCAGCAGCAGAGTAATATGGGAACATCAGGGGTAAAAAAATAATCCACAACAATGAGGTTATAGACTGTAAATACATGAGGAAAAATTAACATCTTTCTGACAACTGAAACCACTTTTACTTCCCATTTGTGCCACTGGTTAAAAACAATATCCTTTGGTAGTGTTGCTCTAAATGTATTGTTGTAGCCTTGCCTATAAATTGAACAGAGCCTCTTGAATTGGTTTGTCACCCATGTGAAAGTGAGTTTGTGGGAATGGTTCTTAGTACGTGGAGTTCAAGTATTTCTTGTGTTTTTGACACTCAAAACATTGTGGTAGAAATTCTGATCATGTTACTGATATTTTACCAGCATGCATTTATTTTGTATTAGTGCCAGTAGGTAAAGTAAGGAAGAGGTTTTTTTAGGCTGAACTGAGCTGTCTTGTACTTATTTGCTGTATTTTATCTTGGAGCTTGTTTTATGTGGCTCACTGCAGTAGCACAGGAGTAGATTGAGGGGCTAAAAGCTTTTATGCAATTCTGTGTTTTTTTAAAGTCTAATAGTGTGTATTATCAGTGTAAATAATCTGCCTGTGCTGAGGCAACATAACGTGGTATCTTTTCTCTCGCAGTAGACCTACAATTACTTAAAACCTCTAATGAAGATTGTATTAATCTGTAAATGACAGGATTTTTTTACTATAACCAAGCAAATTTCAGTGTAGACCTCTTCGAAAATATCCTTTCTTTACATGTAGTAGTCCTACTGCAACACTTAGTAGAGTAAGTTTAAAAATAAGTGAGATATGAATTTGGTTTAAAGGCTCATTTAGTAAACTGTGTTCTCCTTGAGACTTCAGCCATGTGGATTTGTTTATGAAGGTAAAGCTACTATTTTTCTCTACCTGTAAATAGTTGCTCAGGACAACGTGAACTGTTTAATTCTGTTTGTCCGATGAGCCTTCAAATCAAAGGCATTAATTTAAGGATTGTTTTGACTTTTTGAAAAGTCACTTTTAAACAGACCAGCAAAATATGTAAACTTCTCATCAGAAAGACATTTGACCTGAAAAGCTTGTTGAGACAGGTGACTGGACTTTCGTATTGAGTGTTACGTGGTCTGTGCTATTAGGTTAATGTCAGATATTACTTATTTCACTTCCTGACTTAGAGAAAGACTCTTAAACGCTAGTTAAATGATAATTCTCGGTTTTGTGGAGGGAAGGTTGTTGGTTTAACTCTGTAGGGACTTGAACTGTAAACATGCAATCCTTCAGGTCTGCTTAGTATTCAGTTTATTGCTTGACCACATAACTGCAGCTTTATTATTTAGAATCATAAAATATCTCAAGCTGGAAGGACCCACAGGGATCATCAAGTCCAACTCCCTGGCAGCACTATCTACCACTAAACCATATAACTAAGAGCACTGTCCAGACAGTCCTTGAACTCTGACAGGCTTGGTGCCATGACCATTTCCCTGGGGATGCTGTTCCAGTGACCAACCACCACTTCGGTGAAGAAGCTTTTCCCGGTGTCCCATTGGAAGTTCCTCTGATACAGTTTGCCTCTGTCTAGCTGGGCAAGCTGGAGGTGCTTCCAAGGTGCTATGTGACAGTTCCTCTGTGTTTAAAAAGTGTAGTTTCCTGATTTGTGGATGAGTTACAGCTCAGAGGAGCTGCCTCTGCTGAGCCTTGCTTAGTGGAGCAGCACTTGGGACCCTGGGGGAAGGACTTAAAGTGAACTGCTTGGATATCTCCTAGAACCTGCTCTGCTCTGAGTCTGAGAGGAGCATGTGGCAAAACTTAGTGCTGCTGGTTTCTGCAAGAAGGGCTTTTTGGGCTTTTAAAAATCTAATTTGTGTTAATTGAAATCTGGAATAAACAAATCCATTGTCTCTGAAAAGCAGAGATG